AGGACCCATGAACGAGAAGATAATGAGTTATTAGCAGAAATAGTGTAAATACCTGCCGAAGATGGCTTCACTTTGCCATCCTTGATATCTTGCAGATATTGTGGGCAAGATCTCTTCCAGTGCCCATTTTGATTGCAGTAAAAGCAAACGGCCTCTTTTGGATCAGAAACATGGGGAGTGGAACCATTGGGCTTAGCCTTTGGGTCATTGCTAGATGACCCAGCTTGAGCCTTGCTCTTCCAGTTTTGCTTGGGAGGACCTTTCCTCTTTTTCCCCTTTCCCTGTCCAATAGCCAAGACAGGGGCACTTGCAGGTGTGGAGGGTATACTTTTACCCTTCATCCCTGCTTCAGCTGTCTGCAACAAGTTGTGCAATTGGGCCAGAGTCTGCTCAGTATTGTTCAAATGGTAAGTTAGAATAAACTGACCATAACAATCAGGTAGTGAGTTCAAGACCATGTCAATGGCCAATTCCTCATCAAAGTGAATGTTGAGATTGACCAAACGCTCTATGTAGCGTTGCATTCTTTGCACATGTGACACAACCGATTCCCCTTCTTTCATCTTGCAAGCCATGAGTGACTTGACTACTTCAAACTTTTCTTGACGAGCTCCCTTATGGTACTTTTCCATAAGGTCATTGTTCATCTCGAAAGGCCAGTATTCCTCATAGTACCTCTGCAGTTCTGGGGACATGGTTGCCACCATGATGCATGCCACTTTGGTAGCATCATCGTAATGTTTCTTGTAGGCAGCATATTCTTCAGGAGTAGCTTCAGACTCATCAAGCTCTTTGAGCTCCTTTTCAAGAACATATTCTTTTTTCTCAAAACGAAGCGCCATCTTGATGTTGCGCATCCAATCGTTATAGTTAGAGCCATCCATAACGACTTTGGACCAGATATTGAGCAAAGAGAAATTTTGGTTGGAGGAGGATGAAGCAGAAGTGTTTCCAAGAGTAGACATCTGAAAAGAAGGAAAGTTTTAGTTAGATTTCAAGATACCTTAATAAAATAACCCAAAGATATAATATCAAGGTTAGGATCCAACTATGAAGATTCACAACTTAGAAATGGGATGCCGAGATCCAAGAGTAAATTTCATAAAGGTAGGTGAATGACGATTCACCAATTCCACCATTAGACGAAACAAACGAAGTGAAATTCCTAATTCTTTTGAGATACATTGAAATTATTCAATGGCATGTTTTAATCTCAGATTATGCTCTTCTATTTGTGACTGGGATGCCGAGGATCACAAACAAGATGTGAATAACCATGCAAATGTGCTTGGTAACCTCATTGTCTTTATCATTAACTATTGATGTGCTGGTAAACCACACACGCTCCATCAAAATGACAATTATGAGATACCCATTACTACTCTTTATTAGTGCCTTTTAGTGTGCTGGTTAACCACACACGCTCCACTAACGACCAATAAAGCATAATGTGCAATTTCATGGATTAGCATACTTTTCACATTTTTTCTAAAGTAACTAGAGTTGGGATTTTTGAAAATAATGTTCTAGTACTTTCTTTAATAGCATTATACTTTTAATGAGAAGTAGTTGTCCTATCAAATCTGTTCTGCTAACGACCCTCCACTAATCAAGGGAGCGGTGGGTGAGAGTGGACACCCATTCAACTACCATTTTATACGCAGTTTCCTTATACCCCCCTTATAGACTAGCTTCGTGAATGAGGCATACTAGCGATTTGACTGACCATATTCTTATACATATATAATATTAAACTTTTAATTATAATACATATATAAGGTGTGTTTTAAACTTTTTAAAACTTTGAGGTTTATATAAATTTCGAAATTCAAACTATTAAATTTAAATTTAAATAAACCAATTAACTAGATTTAATATTTTTATCTACTGATTAACTTTTAATCAATTTTTTAAATCTTGTAAGGATTATCTAATCAAATTAATCAATTAATTTAATCCTAATCCTTATCCCTCTAAATTTCGAAAATTAGGGTAAGGATAATTATCCAATTAATCTAATCAAGTAACAATTATCCAAAAACAAGAAACCCTAAAACTTCTAGCATATTTCGAAATTTACAAGGGAGGAGGCTAGGGTTTTCAAAACCCTAACCCTAATTTCGATTAGGGTTCTTTGGAGGCTAGGGTTTTCGAAAACCCTTTGATCCAAAACCCTAAAACGAAAATTTGGCCTTTAGGGTTTAATAGCTATAAACCCTAATTTGCAATTCAACAATTATAGCAATTCAATTTAAAACAAAACAATGGCTCTGATACCACTGATGGGTTTTAGGTAAAACAAATAAACCAGAAAACAATTCCTAAGTTCACATGCAACCTAGTTTGGATCTATGTTTTAACTATTGAACATACAACTTTGAATTGCAAAACAAGAACCCTAGAGAAGGAGGCTATTTTCGAAAATAGTAAACTAGGGTTTAGGAGTTACATACCTTTCAATTGTTATAGCAAACAATTGATAATTCCCTTGATCTTGATCTTGATCTTCTTGGAAGCTTAGCACCACAAGTGTAATGCCTCTAATGGAATCACACCCAAGAGTTAGCAAGAAAGAAACTAGGAGGAGAGAGGATGGAGAGAGTATGCAATTTCAGCCTAGATATCTTCCAAAGAATAGAGTGGCCTAAAATGTGAGCCAGGAGGCTCCTTAAATAGCTGAGGGATCTAGGGTTTAGGGAAAACCCTAATTATCCTTTGCTTAGGGCCTAAGCAAAACCCAAGGGCCTTATCTGGAACCCCTTGGACGAAATCTCTAGGGTTTTCCCTATGGATTTCGTCCACCTCCTTCCAAGGAGGTTCTGGAGTCTTCCACTCAACTATCTGATAATTGCAAACTAGTCCCTGCACTTTATAATTAATACTTTTAACCCCAAAATTAATTCTGATTAATTTCTGGCTAACTATTAATTAAACATAATGATTTCTAATCAATATATTAATCTTTTAACATATTAATAAATCATTTATATTAATTTATTAATCTTATAAATTAATATCTCTCCTTTCATAATTTCCTTGTCCAGTTGCTAGGTTGAGGGCAACCCAAAAGGACTGTGCTGCTATCAATTCAAGTACATACCAATTATAGTTATGGGCTTAGACACCTAATCCAACAATGATATCTACTCAATTCCACCTAAGTTGGTACTTGAAAGTGTTAACAAGCTCTAACACTTCCCATTAACCAAGTTGTCAAATTAAAAAAAAGCTCTTTGAAAATAAAGCTACAAAATGGGTGCATAAAATACACCTAACAGTGGTGCAAGCAGTCATTTGCGTATCAGCGGATTGAGGTGAGTTTTTCCTCACTGTACCTAAGGGTCTAAGGCACCAAGGGCGACCCTTTAAATTGATATCCTAATTTATCGTATGATCGAGTATTGTAGTGAACTGTTAGATCTGAATGTTATCTGTTATGGCTATATGTTTACCGGTCGCATGTGTTGATGTAGTGTGGTTGGGTTGAGATTGTATTGCTTTGTGCTGCCAGTAAACAAACCCGGTAATATTTATATTGGTATGTTATATATATATATGCTTATATGTTATGTACATGTCGACATGGTTTGTGTGTGGTTGGGTTGAGGCGGTCCTGCTTAGTGCTGAAAGCCAACAAACCCAGGGCGGCCCCGATAGGCTGAAGGCCAGTAGGGCGTACCAGTCAGGCAGAAGGCTTGGAGAATGGGCCAGACAGGCCGAAGGCCCGGTGAGGTGGTCCAGACATGCTGAAGGTTTTGTGACCGGTCCAGACAGGCTGAAGGCCCGGTGAGGCGGTCCAAACAGGCTGAAGGCTCTCTATGCATGTTGTTTGTTGGTACATGCTATCTGTTGTGTAGTGGTACATGCTGAAGGCGCTCCTGATGATTTTGGCAAGGCAAAGGCATGACTGTACACATCCTTTGTTTTCTACAAATTGGATTTTGGGGGACTCTGATTTTAAATCATGTTTTTTACAAACACTTTGTTAATAAAATGGGTTGTTTTGAAAAAGTTTAAATTTGCTGAAATTTTTGGGATGTTTGAGGTTGGAGGGGAATGGGGGAGAAATGAGGAAAAATAGAGTTTGGGGTGGGTTGGAGATATCTTAAGGCATACTAAAGAAAATTCAGCAACGCGATACTAAAACAATTTGACTAAAAGAGGGCAAACACGCAATATGTGATTTAGCATACAATATGCAAGGTTTAGTTGACATTTTTACGGGTCCATGATTCATATAATGTAATTAAATAACTAACACAATTGTAGTGGTAATAAATTTGTAACACCCCTCACATAGGTATGTTTGAATTAGCCTTTAATGATATCTTTCAAAATAATTTCAGAGTTTTAGTTTGCAGAAAAACGATTTCCAAAGCTAAAATCAAACAGTTTACAAAGTTCAACCGTGGATAATGGTCCCGATTAAAATTTTCCAAACATTTAGCTGTTTAATACAACTATTCATGTGAGAGTGCTACAACGGATATCAAAATAAAGGTTTAAGTAGATATTACAAACCAACAGTCTTCTAAATATCCAAATCTCATAAGTCTCACAAGCTTCGGACATTATCTACTAACCTGCAACAATTTATCAACAAGTGATTTAGGCTACGGGGAGCCTAGTGAGTACAATCTCAGAGTTAGACATTATGGACGATACATGAATGAACATTATGGTTCATACACCAATGTACAAACTCGTACCATCTCAAAACAACAAAACCAACATCAAAAGTCAACTTGGGGGTAAAATATTATACTAGTCAAAGTACGGTGTCATTTGGGTAAATTAAATGAATGGTCCCTATGGTTTGAATCCGTTTGCACGCTTGGTCCCTAACTATTTTTTTTTTAAATCCGACCGTCCCTAAAATTTTATTTTGTTGCGAATTTCGTCCCTACTGAACCTAAATTGACTATATTACCCTTAATCCATTTATTTTTAATTTAATCGGCTGTTTTCTATTATTTAAAAAATTAACAAAAAGAAAATAAATGTGTTTCTTTCCTTCAATTCCAATTCCCATCTCTTTCCTATCACGTCTCTCTCACTTCCGACGACCACGTCCGGCAGCCACCCGTATTTCATGTCTGACGACTACAATGACCACCGATATCGAGCTCTAGAACCCCGAAGAACAGAAACCCCTTCTGAATCCATCAATTTATGAAAACGCAAACCCTACCCCAGATCCACCCTCAGCTGGATCTTCGAGTTCTGTAAACCAGAGATCTAGCGACCAAATCAAAGATCTCTTTGTTTCCTTCGTTGTTTCCAACGTAGATAAACCATTTCTATCTCGTATGTTCTCTCTCTCTCTCTCTCTCTCTCTCTCTCTCTCTCTCTCTCTTACCCCGTCTCAATTGGATTATAAAGGGACCCCAAAATCCAATCTCCATTTGTTTTCTCTGATTCACGTTTCATAAGGTTTTCTTGTTGAAATTTCTAAGTGAAAGGTTCTCATGGATTTGGATTTTTGCTCTTCCTCTCGTGTTCCTTTTCATATTCTTCTCCATCTCTCCCTCACAAAAAACTCAATTTCTGGATGCAGAGGAAAAAATAGATGAATCGGTGAACAGAAGATATTCGTTTTTGCCTTCTACGATGACACCATTGATAGCCTCATAGATGCAGAAGAAAAAAAGAAACATGGATGAGGAGATATTAAACCCTCATCATCTTTGTGGATTTTGATGTTGATTTCTTGATTACCAGCAAGATACATTTGTTATTAATCTATACTATAATTTTGGTTTCGATTTTAGTGGGTGTTGTTCTGTCTTGAAATATGTTTTTGCTTGCAAGTTTTTGAAGATTATTTCAATTGATTTTTGGTTCTTATTTCCTTTTGATATCACTGTTGATTTTTATGTATGGCTTAAGGATGAAACCAGTTTTGACTTTGGCATTTGATATAAGGATGAATCAGTCTTGATTTTGGCTTTACTTTTGATTTTGCAAATAGGGTGGTCGGTGGTCATGATAGTGGTTAGTGGTGGATGACGATCGGTGGTGAAAGGGTTGGGTGGTGGATGACGATCGGTGGTGAAAGGGTTAGGTGGTGTATAACGATCGGTGGTGAAAGGGTTGACTATGATTTTGGTATAAGTTGGATTTTAGGTTTAAATTAAGGAATGATTTTGGATGACTTTGGTTTTGGTTATCGGAGTTGGCCCGCGGTTGTTGCCGGAAATTAGTCGGCGGTGGTTGTCGGGATTTTTTAACGGGAAATGAAGGAAAGAAATGGGGGTGGTGGTGGGGGTGGGGTGAGATAGATTTTATTTAATGGTTTAATATATATAACAATTGAAAAATAATTATAAAAGAAATTAAAAAACAACATTTAGGGTAAAATATACATTTTAACTTGATCAGGGACCAAAGACGTAATAAAATCAAATTCTAAGGACCGTTCGTGTAAAAAAAATTAGTTAGGGACCAACGAAGCAAATTATCCCATACCATAGGGACCACTTATGTAATTTACCCGTGTCATTTATGACAAATCTCAAATAACTTCACAACTGAATAAACAATACAAGGTAAATATACCTTCAATATACGCGTCTCAATAATCAAAATCCAAATAAGATCATATAGATCCAATAATACCCATAAGAGTTACAAAATACTCGGATACGATAATCCGATCAATAAACAAAACTATAAAACTTGACACTATTATATATATATATATATATATATATATATATATATATATATATATATATATATATATATATATATATATATTCATTTGAGACCATGTTAATTTTGTGAGACAGTGAAACCAAATCTGAAAATAATTTTAAAATGCAATATAAAAGGAAAATTCCGAAAATTCTGTTTTTAATTATTATTTTTGTCACTTTAATTACCTAAAAAAAATACCTACGTGAAATATTTTAATAGAATATTACACTGTAAATATTATAATGTGATTTTTAGAATGTTAGAATATTCTACTAGATTTGTCAGATATGTAAAATATTCTAATATTCTAGAAGAATATGTAAAAAAAAGGTATTTATTTTATTTTGGTATTTTTTATTTTTTTTTCGGAAAATATAAATGACGAAAATAATATTTGAAAATTTTTTTTCGAAAATTTTCAATTATTTTGCATTTTTAAAAATGGTTTTTTTATCTACAAAATTAGTGGCTAGGATTGCGTCTCACGGTCTCACAAAATTAGGCTGTCTCACATTAACCCAACCCTATATATATATATATATATATATATCTATATATATATATATATATATATCTATATATATATATATATATACTAGGTTATAACCCGTGGAAACCACGATCGGTATATTTAAAATTTTTATATAGATAAAAAAAATAATAAATGTAAAAAAAAAACCAAGATTTTGTCTATTGTAACTAATTATGAATTAATTTGTTAAGCAAAATAAACATAATAATGTTATTAGGATATGATTTTGTATATTCAAAATTTGAATTGAATTTGATTTGTTACAAAAAAAGGAAATAATAAAAATCATAGAAAAATGCTACTTGTCAAAGAGACATTCTAAAAAACTGACACGTGTCATTTTTAGGTTTCATTTATTAGAAGAGGTAGATATATATATATATATATATATATATATATATATATATATATATATATATATATATATATATATATATATATTCGAAAAGATAAATTCAAATGGATAATGCAATGCATGCAACTATCCCAACCAAAATCAATCTAAAAAATCCAGCTCGCAACAATCGTCAGATATGAAGTGCTCATGACAGACTGCCAACTTTTGCACTCATATTCGACAATAAAATAATGATGGTTGGGAGAATTACCCAAAGTTATTTGCAACAACGGACTTTGAGGACGAAATATGATTCTAATGGGGGAGAATTGTAACACCCATATTCGCAGGTTTGAGTTTCCAAGGTCAATTTGGTCTTTTATAGCATTTTTATGTCCTACGTCGGGCGTAGGATAGCCCCCTATGCTAAGCGTATGAGGAAGAATTCATGCGGGGACTTAATGACCTACGTTGGGCGTAGGATAACCTACGTGTGGTGTAGGAGGACAATACCAAAACCCTAATTCTTGGGGGTGTGAGCTTATTTAAAGGCTCTAACTCCTTGGGGGCCTCTTCATGCCCAACCTCCACCCTCCTAGCCAGTCATTTCGAAACCCTAGTTGCTTTGTGAGGGATTTGAGGTCTTAAAGTGTTCTTGTGTGTATCCTTGAAGGAAAAGATAATTGGCAAAGCATCTCAGAGCTCCAAGCCTTGTAGATCCAGATCCTTCATCTTATTGTCCATACTTAGAAGGTATAAAGTTCCCATCTTGGTATTCTTTCATGCTAAATCAAGTTAGCCATGGATTTATATGCTTTTTGTCCCATAACTTTGGTTCTTGAGAGTATGAATTACTCCAGACCATATTAAGATCATTTTCTGATTTTCTTGGGGTTGTTAAATAAAAAAAAATGAGAGCTTGGTCACCCCCATCTACCCCATGCATGAGATCTTAAGCATTAGTGTACTTCATGGACTTAGGGTTTGATTTTATTGCTCATTGTTGGTATGCAAATGGAGAAAGTCAAAGACCTTATCTATTAGAACTTTCCCTTGGTTCATATCTGGAAATTTGAGGAGCTAACTTTATGTATTAAGATCTTAATGAGATTTTTGACCATTATGCTGCTACGTTGGTCGTAAATTCCTCTACGCTGAGCGTAGCGTAGTCTTGGCCCGTTTCCATCTATAGCTCTACGTTAAGCGTAAAGCAGCTTGTACGAGGGGCATAGGTTGATTGATCGTTGACCGTTGAATTTTGGTCAAATTTAGGTTTTAGAGTATAAACTGAAAGGGGATTTCTTTATTGCTATTAAGTGACTTGCTGTACCTGTCTACTCTGCGTGTGAGCTGTTGTGTCTAGCTGTTATCCGCAACGTGTGTCTTCTCACTATATTTACCTGTGTAGTAGTGTATGCAAGCTGACCAACTGGGCCTTCCTTATTGATTGATGTTATATGTGAGCCTGAGTTACAGATAACTCCTGGACAACCGTGAGTCCACGGGGCTGCTGATAGTCCTCAGGGTTGTTGATAACCCCTGAAATGCGGGCTGTTAATCCATAGGGTTGCTGATAACCCATAGTTGTTTATTATGTTGAGTTTTCTATAACATTTTGGGAAACTCACTGAGCTTCGTACTTACAGTTGTGGATTAAATATGTTTCTGGTACTTCAAATGATCGCGGAAAGGCGAAGGATTGACTATACAATTCGACTTGCAGATTTTATGATTTTCCGCATGTTGATACTCTGATTTGGATGTTTGTATTTGATTAACGTGGGATTTTATGACCTAGCTTTATAATACATGATGGTTTCTCTATATTAAAAATGAAAAATTTTGTGGTAAATTTTGGATGTTACACATTGTATGTGTATTGTTGTGTGAGGTAATTTTGGGAATACACTAAGCTTGTTGTTTATAATTGTAGATTAAATGTTTTTCAAGTACTTTATCAGGTCGTGAGAATGCGAATGCGTGACTGTACACATTCACAACAGTTTAATGATTTGAGATTCCACGATACTTTTCATTATAACTTTGAATTTGTGACAACCCGAAACTTCTATTTTGTGCAACTATTCAATTCAGTCAACGTCAGACCCGTTTCTGCTATCTTTTAGCATCGTTTAGGGTCCGTTTAAGTGTTCTAAGCTTAAGTGCAACCAAGGATTGAGTTTAGGGATGAGTTATCAAATTCGTAAAGTAACAAATCGGGCCATACACTCTCTGAGGAGAAGTGTACGGCCGCACACATGGGTGTACGGTTGTACACCCCCCATGGTCGCACACTCAAGGTGGTGGGTCACCCACCCCTATATATATGAGTAGACCCCCTTCCTTCATTTCCTTTATTCCCTTGGTTGCACACTACTCCATTCTCTCTCAAGTTTCTTCAATCGTGAACCCTCTAAGGCTTCAAAAACGTAAGTATTCCATCCTATAGCTTGTTATACTTGAAAGACCTCTTGATTCAAGCCTTGGTTCATCAAGTTTCATCATGTTCTTCATCCCTTGGAGGAGTACGGCCGCACACCTTCATAAGGTTGGCCGTACACCCCCTTAAAGGCCCTCCAAAGTGAGAGTTTGACCCCTATCTTCTAGTTGGACATGACCCTAGCCTTGATTCACCTGAAAGTCGACAAATTTGGCATGAACATGATGGGTGTACGACCGCACACCCCTTGTACGTCCGCACACACCTCTTAGGGCGGTAAACCCACTTTGATGATCATTTTAGGCCTCATACTTGCATTGCAACTAAGCATGGGACCTAGAACACTTCTTGGATGCTAGTTAGAACCTTGGAAACACCTCAAAAACACACCTCTTCATGAGTGTACGGCCGTACACTCATGGTCCGCACACCCATGGCCGTACACACCCTTAAGGTGGCCGTACACCTCCCTCACTCAATCACATGTGGTTTCGACACTTAGTTCAAGTATTTCCAAGTCCAGAGTGGTTTCCAATCATGTATAGTAGTGAAATACCCTAATTTGACTCCTATATGTGCTATTACATGTTAAATAGGATCTAATTGTATTCGAGGCTTCACTGGACACTCAACATCTCATACCGATCTTTCATTCAAACCACTCACTCGAGGTGAGTTCATACCCCTACATTTTCCGAGTTTTTAATGTTTTCAGGGGGGAATACAAGTAAAAGCACAAGTAATCTTGTGTTCAAATATATTATTTTGTTTAAAATATTTCCATTAATAATATACATCGGATATAGAAATCAATTTTGACAAAAAGTGTTAAGA